CCTAGCAGGATCGAGGTGGGTGGGATGGTGGCATCCCCTAACCCATGTCCCCTCTGCCTGCAGGATGACAAGGAGTATGTGGGCTTTGCCACGCTGCCCAACCAGGTCCATCGGAAGTCAGTGAAGAAGGGCTTCGACTTCACCCTCATGGTGGCAGGTATGGGGCAGGCTGAGCCTGGCATGGGGATGCTGACCCCACTGTGGATCCCAAAAGCCATGGGGGGGGGGGGATCCCAAAAGCCAGGGTGGGGGGGGGCGCGGTACTGGCTGCCTCCCCTCACCCTTGTGCTCCTGTCCCAGGGGAATCTGGGCTGGGCAAGTCCACCCTGGTCAACAGCCTCTTCCTGACGGACATGTACAGAGACCGCAAGCTGCTGAATGCTGAAGGTGAGGGGGCACAGTCCCAGTGATGGGGTGTCCTGTGTGCCCCAGGGGGGTGGCAGAGCCCCACGTTGCTCCCTGGTGGGGCTGCAGCCCCTCTCCCTACCTTGCCAGGCTCCTCCGAGTCTCTGAAGCCATGTGTGGCAAGTAGCCAGCTGCCCATCAGCACTGGGGACCAGTCCAAGGCAGTGGGTCCCCCCCCGCCTGGCACGGGGACCCCCTGTGGGACCTTTATGCCTGCTGGGAAAACAAGCCCCAGCTTGTTGGGGATTGTCTGGAGCTGCAGCAAATCCGGGAAGCTGTGGACAGTCGGGGTCCAGGCACGGTGCTGGTTCAGCTGCAGCCAGTTTTTGAACTAAAATTGCCCAAATCCCCAGGGGTTCTAGGTGGTTGTTTGATTTGTTTTGAGTCAGTTGTTTGATTTGTTTCCGTTGCTTGGAGCAAAAGCCAAATTGTGGCCATGTGCTCACGATGCAATGGGAGCATCTTTGGGGGAGCAGGGACATGGAGGGATCCTGGTGATAAAGGGGCATGTGCAGTCACAGAGCCATGGGGTCACTGTAGGGGTACAGGGAGCCAGCCACAAACGCTCCTGCAGTGATGCCTGGCTCCAGCAGACCCCCATGCTGCCAAAGCTGGGCTGTCATGGGGTGGTGGTGGCACAGCCACTGAGGGAGGGGTACACTTCCATGTTGGGATGCGGGAGGCTGTGGCACAGAGCATCCTGTCTTGGTGCTGGACACTGGAACTCATGGGGGCTGATCCTGCAAAGCAAGCCCAGCCCCCCAGGGTGGAGGGTGACACCCGGGGGCTGCAGCATCTCCCTGTGTCACCCCCATTGTCCCTCACCCAGGGTGTTCCCCACTGTCTCTGTGTCTCCTGCTGCTGCAGAACGCATCACACAGACGGTGGAGATCACCAAGCATGTGGTGGACATCGAGGAGAAGGGTGTCAAGCTGCGCCTGACCATTGTGGACACGCCGGGTTTCGGTGACGCCGTCAACAACACAGAGTGGTGTGTCTCATGGAGAGGTGGTAGCAGCATCTCCCTGGGGCCAGGCAGTGCCACCATGGGTGCCAGAGGCTCTGAGGGTGGGATACCCACGGCTCCTCAGGGTGGGATGCTGAACCATGGGAGGTGTTGAGCTGCGGATCTGGGGAAAGCCTGGGCGTGGTGGGGAAAGCAGGGGACTCCGATGGCCACCTCCCTGTCCCCACAGCTGGAAGCCAGTAGCTGACTACATCGACCAGCAGTTTGAGCAGTATTTCCGTGATGAAAGTGGCCTCAACCGGAAAAACATCCAGGACAACCGTGTCCATTGCTGCATCTACTTCATCTCACCCTTTGGCCATGGGTACGGACAGCCCCTGCCTGCACTGCCAGGATCTGGGGTGCTGGGGAAGGGGCTTGGTGGGACAGTGCTCACAGGGCTCCCCCCACAGGCTCCGGCCCCTGGATGTGGAGTTCATGAGAGCTCTGCACCAGCGGGTGAACATCGTGCCTGTGCTGGCCAAGGCTGACACCCTGACCCCTGCTGAGGTGGAGCGCATGAAGAACAAGGTAAAGGGAGGTCAGGCCAGCCTGGAGCCATGCCAGCAGGTCCCTGGGGATGGGGGTGCCCTGGGGGCTGGTGTTCCTGCTCGGCTGGGGGCTCTGTCCATCCCCTGCCTGGACTTTGCCATGAAGCATCCTCCATGCTTGCAGCACTGTAGAGGACCATGTTGCCCATACAGCCACCAAAGACACATCTCCGTGGTGCTCAGCTGGGGGCTGGAAGGGTCTGGGGGTGGCGTGTGGTGTGTCCATGACATCTAGTCTTGGGGGGGCAGGCTTTTGTGGGCCCCTGGGGGACACGGGCACTGTGTGGTGTTTCCCACCCCCTTTCCAAGGGCCAGAGCCCTGCCCTCAGCGGGGCTGTCTGCCTCCAGATCCGGGAGGAGATCGACCACTATGGCATCCGCATCTACCAGTTCCCCGACTGTGACTCAGACGAAGATGAGGAGTTCAAGCTGCAGGACCAGGCGCTGAAGGTGGGTCTGGCTCCTCTAGCTCCATCCTTGGAAGGGCAGAGCCCCACAGCCAGGAGGACATGTCATCCTGGGGTACCTCTTAGGACTCTTTGGGGCCATACCAACTCTCTGGCAGCCCCAGCATGGTGGGGTTGGTACGTGTTGCACTACCCAGACATGTCACCAAGACCCCACAGGTGCCACCTGCAGCTGGGATAGGACTGAGGTGGACAAACCCATGCCATGACTTCTGCCGTCCCACCTGGGGCTCTCCATAGCTGGGCCTCTGGGATATCTTGGCAAATGGATGCTGGATATGGCCGAGGAGATGTATGTGGAGGGATGTGGGCCATGGTGGACAGGACTGAGCCCTGCTAACCCCCACTATCCTCTTGCAGGAGAGCATCCCCTTCGCTGTCATCGGCAGCAACACAGTTGTGGAGGCCAAAGGCCGGCGTGTCCGCGGGCGCCTCTACCCTTGGGGCATCGTGGAAGGTAACGCTGGGCTGTGTTCCCGGCATCCCACTGACCTTTTGGGGATGAGGACATCACATGCCCCATCTCCATGCTGCTCAGCCCCAGGGGGTTTCAGGGGACGCAGGGGGCTGGCTGTGGCCCCCTGACCTCAGGCTCCCCTGCAGTGGAGAACCCGTCCCACTGTGACTTCGTGAAGCTGCGGACAATGCTGGTAAGGACCCACATGCAGGACCTCAAGGATGTGACACGTGAAACCCACTACGAGAACTACCGCACACAGTGCATCCAGAGCATGACCCGCATGGTGGTGAAAGAGAGGAACCGCAAGTATGGGGCCGGGAGTGGGGTGCCAGGCTGGGGAGGTGTGGGGGGGCATCTTGTTGGGGGGCATCTCCTCTCTTTGGTGTGACCCCAGCCCATTGCAAGTGGTGATCTTGGGGGGTTGTGGTTGTGTCTGGGTCCATGCTGGGCAGCATGGTGGGCTGGGCAAGGAAGCCTTGGCGGCTTAGTGGGGGGCCCTTCCTATACCATTTGGCTGGAGCTGGCTGGGGGTGGATGCTCTGGTAGCAAGGGGGACCCTGCTTCCCTCCAGGGCTGGCTGGGGGGGATGCTCCAGAAGCAAGGGGGACCCTGTGTCCCTCCAGGGCTGGAGCTGGTTGGAGGGGGTATGTTCTAGCAGCAAGGGAGACCCTGCATCCCCCTGGGGCTGGCTGGGCCAGCAGCAAGGGGGACCCTGAGCTCCCCCTGGGCTGGGTGTGTCTTGGGGGATGCTTTGGCTATGAGGGGGAACTCTCCATCCCCCTGGGGCTGGCTGGGGGTGGGGATGCTCCAGCAGTGAGGGGGACCTTGCATCCCTGCAGACTCCGGGGTTGGAGCGGGAGCCAGCAAGCAGCCAGTGCTGGGGCTCTGCTTCTGGTACCAGCCAGATTCATGGCACTTGCATCCACTTTAGCCACCCCAAGATGTTGGGGGGGAGCCCCCCACAGCAGGGGCTCTGGTGGGACCCTCCAGCCAGGGGGCTGGAGCAGTGCAGGAGCAAGCGGAGGCTCGGGGGCGGGCAAAGCAGCAGTGCTGGCGGCGGGCGCGGGCGGCAGCTATAGGTGCCTCTAAGCTGGTCTCTCCATATGTGCCGCTGGAGAAGGCGGCATCCCTCTGCGCTGCGGCTGTGCTGTGCCGACTGCTCTGCTGACTGAGCCAGGATCTGGCCGGGGCTGTGCTTGGCCCCTGCCATCCTCCTCCCCCTGCCTATCTCCCTGACCCCTATATAAAGTACTTCCTGGTATCCAACCCTGTCTTGGTCCTTCTGTGCCCATGCAAGGGCTGGGCAGCCACTCTCGGGGAGAGCTGGCCCTGTGGCCACCCACCTGTTGCCCACACAAGTTGCCCTTAGGGTGCCGGCACCACTGGTGGGGCTGGGAGGATGCAGTGTGCCGGTGGCACCACCCCGGCTCACCCAGGCAAGGTGGGGTTGGGGGGACCTGTCACCATTTGGTGGCACCCAGCTTTTCCCAGGCAAAGGCTGCCCAAGGGAAGGGCTGCAGGGTGGGCACCCCCATGGTACTGCCCTCCCAAGGGGATGCGATTCTGGGGTTTAGGAGGCAGCAGTAGACATTCTTTCCTGGGCTGGTGAAGCTGCTTGCCCTGTTGCCAGTGCCCAGCTCAAGCCTTGTCTTGCTGCCAGGGATGGAAGGAGCTTGATGCGCTTCCCCCTGGGTCCCCCCACGGTGAGGAGCCGTGACAACAGGCAGCGATTTCCAAAGCAGCTCAAAACATGGCCAAAACCTATCCCTTGCCGTGGAACGCTGGCACAGTCCCCCCGGCACAATGGGCCCCTGCAGGGCAAGGGGCGGCCCAGCCTGTCCATGCAACATCCACCATGTCCACCACCCCTTTGCATGTGGAGGGGCTGCACGTGGCGGTGGCACGTGGCAGTGGCACGTGGTAGCATGCGTGACCCCTGCCAGCCATGGTGGCGGTGTTCCAGCCATGCCTTCACCCGCTGGGGTAGCACGTGGCATCCACAGGGACCAGGCTGGGAGAGCTGGTCCCTCCCCATTGCCGTTGGCATGGGAGAACCCATCGATTCAGCTGTGCCACTGTCCTGTGCGGTGGGGTGGCCCCAGGGGAACACCCACAGCTCCCTCTAGCAGGGATGGGCTTGAATGGGAGCTGATGCTCAGGAAAAGGGGTGTGGAGCATCCCTGGGGCTGGCTGGGTGGCAGGGTACCTGGGGAACCTATCCTGCAGCGGGGCTGCTCCTGTGGGAGAGAAGGGAGGTGCTGAGTTTAAGATGTTTTAAAGCAGCAGAGAAAATATTGGGCGAGGAGAGCCCAACCCCAGCTCAAAGCACCCAGTGGGATGCTTCCTAAAATAGGACAGTGTGGAGAAAACCAGGCAGGGATCTGTGCCCTGG